TTTTTTAAATTTGAACTGCCATAATCAATTATGTTACCAGTATAATTATTATGACAAAGAGAAAATCATTTTTTCATTTCTGATGCATCATAATCGATTATGACAGTGAAAAATGTCATGTTACAAAATTTGATCACACTTGTGCTTTGGAGGCTTATGTATAATATCACTTCATCAACTTGTACCTCCATATCCGGTATTCTAAGACTCTATCTAGTCTTCAGGAATCATCTTGAGCTTGCTAGATGTTTGAATTAAATCTTTATCAAAATCATATCTTTGGATTGCTAGTGTTAAATGTTGTTGACTTGAATTATCATCAAAATCATCTCTTGGGAATGTAGGGGCATGTTTCACATTGTCATCAATCTCCCCCTCATTGCTTTCAGCAATATCTGATCTTGTGGCATTCAAATACATGAAGATGCCTACAAGTTATTTGAGTAAAGTGTTGTCAACTTTTGCTCCTTCTCCTTCCTGGCAGTGTTCTGGATGTTCCAAAATTCTTTTGAGTCAAACATACTGGCAAGCACACAAAGTAGCTGTTATGAACAATGCTTCAATTGTGGACAAATTGACTACTGGTTGTTTATTTGATGCCCAAGAAATCACACCTCCTCTTAACATGAAAACATAACCAGACGTGTTTTTTCTATCTTCAAGATCCCATGCATAATCACTACTATTATAAGTAATTCTTCATTTTTCCCCAGCTTTGTAAAAAATTCCTAGATTTTGAGTTTCTTGTAAATATCTCAAAATACGTTTTGCAGCCAAAAAATGATTATCTTTAGCATGCTCCATAAAGCGACCTATCAAGTTGACCGAATGTGCAATATCTGATCTTGTGGCATTCAAATACATGAGGTTGCCTACACGTTATTTGAATAAAGTGTTGTTAATTTATGCTCCTTCACCTGTTTTCAACAACTTAGTCCCTTGAGCAATGGGGTTTTTCACCAAAGTACAGTCAAGCATGTTAAATTGCTCCAATACATCTTTGATATATTTTTGCCCAATAAAAATTTCATCACATCTTTGCAACACTTCAATGCCCAAAAAATATCCCATCTTGCCTAAGTCAATTATGGCAAACTCATTCATCATCATAGTTTTGAACTCTTGAAATAATGATTAATGATTACCTATGTATATCAAATCATCTACATAAACACACACAATTAAGATTTTACCTCCCCTTCTTCTTTACAAATAGAGTGTGTTCATGTGTGCACTTGAGAAATTTATTAGCTGCAAGATAAGATTCTAGTTTGCTCTACCAAGCTCTAGGAGCTTGTTTAAGGCCATATAAATCCATTTTTAGTTTGTATACTTGGTGTTCACATCCCCGAAAAACATAGCCTGGTGATTGTTCTATGTAGACATCTTCATCGAATACCCCATGTAGGAAGGTGGACTTAATATCAAGCTGATAAATAGTCCATCTCTTTGTGGCTACCAGTGCAACAACAGTTCAAATGGTTTCAAGACAGGATACTAGAGCAAAAATCTCTCTATAGTTGATCCCTTCCTCTTGAATGTAGCCTTTGCTACCAATCTGGCCTTAAATTTGTCAATCTCCCTAATTTCCTTCAGCCTAGTCTTGAAAATCCACTTGACACCTACAATTTTGCAATTTAGTGGTGGATTAACTAGCTCCCATGTATAATTTCTTTGGATAGCTTGAATTCAGCATTTGTTGTTTCTCTCCAATGATTTTTGATGTTTGGTTGTATCCTAATGGATCTGCAGCTACAAACATTGCAAAATTTATATCTCCTTCATTTGTTAAATCCTCACCAGTGACATAATCTCTCATCCATGCTGGTTGTTTTCTAGCCCTGTAGCCCTCCTCTCTTCAATTGGAATTTCTACAGGTCTTAGTGAAATATCAGATACATTTGAATCTAAATTTGTAACTGTTGTGCTAGTTGTTACTACATCATTCGGGTTTGTCTCAATTACTTCCTCTACTGCTGGAAAAATTTGTTTTGAGGGACACTTGCATCAAGCATGTTATTGGTTTCGATTTCACCCATTCCCAAGATGAATCCTCTTAAAATTTGACATCTCTACTTATACAAATCTTATTATTTAGAGGATCATAAAGTTTTTAAGCCTTAGACTGCTCACTTACACCCAATAACATGCATTTAATACTCTTGTCATCAAGCTTTCTCCTTTTCTAGTCAGGTACGTGAACAAATCCAATGCAGCCAAGCATTTTGGCTTCATTCCACTCCATGCCTTCTCAGATGTGATGTTTTTTACTACAAGGGTTGGGCTTCTATTCAAAATATGAACCACCCAATTTACAACTTTTGGCCAAAAGGTTCTTGTTGTGGTCTGATTCTTCCTTTCAGCTACACCATTTTGTTGTGGTGTATTAGATGTCTTTGAATACCCTGCTCATTACAAAATTCAATAAACTCCTTGGAGGTGTATTCTCCTCCTTTATCAATATACAAAATTTGGAAAAAGACACCAGCCTGCTTTTCAACCAATGCTTTAAATTTTTTAAATACATCAAATGCTTCACTTTTCTCGACAATAAAATAAACCCAAACTTTTCTACTCAAATCATCAATGAAAGTGAGTATGTACCTTTTATTTCTTTTATTTCCATTAGATGTAATATTGATAGGCCCACAAATATAAGAATGAATTAGTTGCAATAATTGAGATGTACACCACCTACTTTGTCGTGGAAAGGAGTCTCTTTGATGCTTTCCTTTGAGACAATATTCACAAAGTTGAGTTGGTAACTTAAAGACAGGCAGCCCTTTCACCATATCAAGGTCTAATAATGTTTTTAAACCACTATAACTCAAATGACCATAGCGTGAGTGTCAAACTTGAGCTACTGATATTGAACTTGCTTTGAAACAATTGTGGGAGACTCCAGATTTTACAAAGATGGCAAAGATACAATTAGTAGTCAAGAAGGTGTCAAAGATAAAACCCTCTCCTTGAAAAAATTCACACTGTTTCATTTCAATACTCAATCCTTTCTCCAAAAATTAACTCACATTAAATAAATTATTTTTCAACTAAGGTACATAAAAGACATCAGTAACCACATGTATAACTTCATTAATTAGAAGTTTGACGGTACCTTTCCCAACCACCTTTAGGAAATAATTTTTCCCCAATTTTACTTCATCAAAAAGGATGAATCAATAAAAGAACTAGTATTTCTATCTGTCATGTGATTACTTCACATCCTGAATCAATAAACCACATCTCTTGCACATTTGTACTTTCATCTGTTAAAAATTGTGTCATAAGTAACACTTATTCTTCACCACCTTTAATATAATCTGCTTCACCACCTTTAATATAATCTGCTTTACTGTTTGGTGACAATGTCTATATTCGTGACAGTAATAACATTCTATTGTTGCTCTGTCTATACGTTGTCAACCTACTCTGCCTCTCCTTCTTCATCGTGTAGCTCCACCTCGAAAAATACTTCTTCCCTAACCACGGTCACCACTTTCTTCATCTTGTGTAACCTTTAATACTTATTTTTCATAAGAACTCTATCTATTCATTCGTTACTCATGTACTAAAAAACTGTTTTAGAGCTCATCTATGTTCATGGAATCCAAATCACGGTACTCCTCAATGGAGGCCACGTAATCGTATCTCAATGTGATTGAACGAAGAATTTTTTTCAACAACGTGCAGGTGAAATTGAAGGTTAATTGGAGGACACTGCGTAATCGTATCTCAATGTGATTGAACGAAGATTTTTTTTTCAACAACGTGCAGGTAAAATTGAAGGTTAATTTTTCAGACATCAGAAGTTTCAAATTTAAGGTCCCACTCTTAAGATCATGCTCATGATTTCCTTTGGCACAATAATTGATGCGGGTAAAAGATACCTTTGTACAAGTCTTCATATAATAAATATTATATTACTGATGGGATGATTTTAGTTACTTATGTAATCAATCATACATAGTAAGTCAATACCAAACAATGATACTATAAAAAATTATATTTATTTATCGGTTTTTTTTATGAGTATTGAAAATATTTCTTTCTCTTTATTACTTTTTCAATCAACAAAATTTCATGTTTAACTGCACTACCAAATATATACATATGTAAATTACATAAAATAAAAATAAGTATATATCTATATATAGCAATTTCCAGTTCACACCTTAAAAATATCAATTGATCATTTATCCACATCTTTAACAGTTTTATGTAAAAATCTAACTATATTTATTACAAGAAGATTGCTCTTTTACAATTCACATTGTCAAATTAATCATATTTATGTAAGAACTTAATTATATATATTTTTTCTTATTGTATTACAAATGAAATTACGCAATATTGAAATGAATAAAAAAATTCACCCTAATCAGCATTAAAAAAATTCTCCCCGTATTATTATTATAATTATTACTGCAATTATATTGAAAAATATATTCTGATCACCTTTGTTTTATATACATATACTTAATATAATAATAATAATAATAATAATAATAATAAATTATATTATTCTAATGGTATTACTTTTATTATTTATTATATTACACGAGGGTTGTGTGGGGGTTGTTCTGTATTGGCAAGGTAGCTGAGGGAGAAGAAGAATAACGCATGAGACAACGTGGGTCTATCTCGAGCTTAATTTTTGACATCTAATATTTTTGAAGCTGTAAAATTTTAAAATAATAAGTTATTTTATTGATATAAGGAGAATAAAATAAAACAGATAAATAATAATATAAAAAAAAATGTTAGATAGTGATCTGGTAAATCATGATTGTCAATGTATCATTGTTTTTTTTTAAATGGCGCCTATCTTTAAAATTAGCTATAACATATCTAATTTAACTTAAAAAATTTAATTTTACAAAATCTGTTGAATGACTATATAGATAAAATAATGTTATTCATAGAGGAAGCAATTCCACCACCACCTCACATCAGTGGGTTACTTGTTATGCAGAGACCAACATAGCACACAGATTCAAGCCATGGAAGAGATCAAGAACCCGTCAGGTACTTCCCTTTTGGTACCATCAGTTCAGGAGTTGGCTAAACAAAATTTGAAGACCGTTCCACAGAGATACATTCAGTTTCAACATCAAGACATGGTCCTCGTCTCTCAAGTACCTGATAGTATCCTTCAGATTCCAGTTATTGACATGCAGAGCCTGCTTTCTGAAGAATCTGGGAGTTCAGAATTGGATAAGCTTCACCTTGCATGCAAAGAGTGGGGATTCTTCCAGGTTTCTTCAATTTCCGCTTTTTGTCTTCAATTTCTTTGTAACTGTAACATATTTCTGTTTGATTCTGGACTCGAGAAACTGTAGATATATGTTACAAATCACCCTAAAGTAATTAAAATTATGAATTGATTTAGCTGTTGAATGTTAATCACCTTGTAGCTGATAAATCATGGAGTTAGCCCCTCCTTGGTGGAGAAAGTAAAGTTGGAGATGAAGGAATTCTTCAGCCTTCCAATGTCCGAGAAGAAAAAGTTGTGGCAGAGACCACAGCATATGGAGGGTTTTGGACAAGCATTTGTTGTGAGTGAAGACCAAAAGCTTGATTGGGCTGACCTTTTCTTTATGACTGTTCTTCCAAAACAATTGAGAATGCCCCATTTATTTCCAAACCTCCCTCTTCCTTTCAGGTTCTCTTCCTCTCTCTTTCTTGTGCGTGATTTCATATATAGCTTATTTTATGATGAACATATATATAAACTAAGCCATATATTTTAAATCTGTCTAGAAAATATTTTCCAACAAGTTTACCAAAAGATGTTTGTTCATAGATTTTTAAAGAGTTTTCATGCCAAGCTAGCCACTGCTCTCTGTGATGCAGGAGAACTTTAGAACTTTACTCTAAGGAACTTCAAAATCTAGCCAAGGTTCTTGTTGAAAAAATGGGAAAAGCTCTGAAGATGGAAGAAACAGAAATGAGAGAGTTGTTTGAAGATGGAATACAATCTATGAGGATGAACTATTATCCACCATGTCCTCAACCAGAGAAGGTTATTGGCCTCACACCCCATTCTGATGGAGGTGCCCTCACTATCCTTCTACAAGTGAGTGAAGTAGAAGGGCTGCAGTTAAGGAAAGATGGCATGTGGATTCCTATCAAACCCCTCCCTGATGCCTTCATTGTTAACATTGGTGACATGCTGGAGGTAATATATTACTCTTATTCCATTCATATCTCAGCTTTACAATATTGCTTAAGAATGAAGAAGATTCTTGAAATTTCAGTTGCATGATTCAGTTTGTTGAGTATGGCTTCAATTTTATATTATATGTAGAGTGTGAGAGAGAGATTTGTTAACATATATCTAATCTATTTTCATGAAAATTTCGATTACTAAAATATAGCATGATAATGCACTATTTGTATACTATACATTTAACAGATTTCTCTCTAGATCGTTTATATTGTTTATGACTGGTGTCATCAATTGAACTGTTGTGCTACATAGAACAAACTTGATCCAACTTTACCAGTGAGTATCCCTGTTTTTTTTTTTTATTTTGGTTTTGGTTGCATGTTTTACATGACAGATTATAAGTAATGGAATATACAGAAGTGTTGAGCATCGTGCAATAGTGAACTCTGAAAAAGAAAGAATTTCAGTTGCAACATTCCACAGTTCAAAACATGATGGTGTGCTAGGTCCTGCAGCAAGCTTGATCACTGAAAAAACACCAGCACGGTTCCAAAGAATTGAAGTGAAGGGGTTTTTGGCCAACCTTTTCGCTCGTAAACTTGATGGAAAGTCTTACCTAGACACCTTGAGGATATAACATTACCTTTTTTAACGTAAAAGGTGTTGGAAGAAAATGAAGAGAAGAATAAAATAATTAACCTTTATTGTAATTATGGTTCCGTTGTTATATTTTTATCTATTTCAATAATTGTTTCAACAAACATACGAGATATTTCGATTATAATGGATCGGAGAATGTCAAAATAGTTTTGTATTGATATGATCACATCATTAAAGTAAAAGTTGGTCCAATAATAACGAATAAGAGTTGTAGAAAGGAAAATGATATTTTTATATTCATTTTGCCTACATAATCATTTAACAAGAGTAAAAATTAATTGATTATCGCGTAATATAAATATTAATATATTGAATTGTCAATAAATTTTATATTACATAATAGTGAATTAAATAGTTTCTTTTGGCGTTTATATACATGAGTTTACATTTAAAAGAAAAAACAAGAAAAAATATCTATTATTTTCATTTTCTTCAACCACAATTAATTAAGTTGGATACTTACTTGCCCAAAAGTGGCAATTTGTGATTGGCCAACCATAGTTGAAATTGAAGTTGAAACTTGAATTTGAGTTTTGTGGGGGTGGTTTGAATGATCATCATGACTCACACTATTTATGTTAATTAAACTAAATTGTTAACTATTTTTATATCAAATTGATGACAGTTATTAATATATTTTTTCTGAACAAGTCTATTATAGATACTAAACAATTCTGTTAATATTTTTCTACCAATTATGTTGTTGATAAAAATGTTATATAGATACTGAAGACAAGGAATTTGCATTTGTAACATATGAGTCGAATTCAATTAAATTGTATAAATAATTAACTAAACTATAAATTTGACCAAACTAATCTAAACTAGAAAATACTTCAAGTTGAATTAAAGTACTTGAACTATTTTTAAAATTTAGTTAACTATATTATATATTTTTTAATTGGACTATTTTTTTTTCGAAAGTTAAATTAATTATCTGATCTAAAGAGAAGAGGAGACAAAAATAATTTGTCACCGCCTTTTTTTTCAATTTAAATTCATATATAAGTTCATTTATTAACGCCATTAACCTTTTATAACACTAGTGCAAAAAGAGGCTTTTACGTCAGGTATTTAGGGCTTTTTACGTCGTATTTAAGTCTGACGTTAAAGTAGGAGACGTAAATTTACGTCGGACCCTTTGCTCGACGTAGATTTACGTCGATTATCAAGATCCGACGTAGATTTACAATAAACAGACATAAAATTGATATTTTATAAATTAATTTAAATATTAACAAGATGGTATGCGGTTAGGCAGAAGAAAAACGAAAAGCTAACAGTAGTAGAATAAAAACGTGCAAGAAAAAACAGAGCACGTGGAATGAATGAAAGAGGAAAAGGAAGGCTAAGATAAAAGATGAAGGTTATATATATATATCGATTGAGAAAAATGGTACTGTATTTATAATGTTAAAATGTGAAGGGAAAAGAGCGGAAAATCAAACACAGTTTTGCACTTTAAGCTTTAATTAAGCCCTTATTACGGATTTGAGAGAATGAAAAATTATAAATTTGGAGGGAAAAGAGATGATAATGGGGTTATTTGGATAATAAGAAACATGGCAAGAAATGTGTAAGAAGATGAGACAAAAATTTATGAAAAGTTGTGAATGATTTAATTTATATAAATAATAAAAAATATTTTAATAAAAAAATATAAAATGTCTAAATTACTCTTTTATTATAAATTATTATTATGATTTTAAATATTATAATTATTTAAAATATTTTTATTTTAATTATTATTATAATAAATATTTTAATTTAAAATAATTATTAATATAATAATAGTTATTATTACTTATATATTTACTGTTATAAATATTATAATTATATAAATTATTTTTATTTTAATTATTAATATGATAGTAATTATTATTATTTAATCATTATTTTTATAATAATAATAATTAGTATTATTAAATAATTATTAATATTATTATTATTTATATATTTATTATAATAATAATTATTATTATTAAATATGATAATTAATTCGTTTAATAATAATACAGAGAATTGATTATGTTATTATTGTGTTTAATAATAATAATATCGATTTATTATTATTATTATTAAACATAAAAATAATTATGGCATTTAATAATAATAAGATAATCAATTCTATTATTATTATTATTATTATTATTATTATTATTATTATTATTATTATTTTTCACACTTAATGATAATAATACAGATAATTGATTCTCACGTGTGAACAAATAATAATTGTATAAAATTATAAGAGATAACATCTATTTCTCTTCTCATTTCTTCATTTATGTGAAGAAGCTCCATTTAATCTCTCTCATATCATTTGAAACAAATACAATCTATACTCGTTCTTCCATCCTCTTAAACAGTACATCACTTAAAATAAACATAGCATAAGCGTTGATACACATAACACAAAAACTAAGAACAAAAAATTAATCGGGTTCAAAGCCCCATGAAACTAGGAATAAATGTCAAATGTTCTCAATTTGGAACAAATGTGATTTAATGTGGGGGAGGACAACACTTTAGTGAAGACATTCACAAGTTGCATGGTAAAGGAAACAAGAAGTAAATTCATCGACATATTGTCGATTTTCTCACAAACTATATGATAGTCAAATGATGATCCGTGTAAGTTATATATGATTTTGAGTTGGAGAGATAAATGAGTCTTCTATATGAGGAAGGATTGATGAAGTGATCATTGTTAGTGGTAGAACTTGGAAGTATGGTTCATCGATTTTGTTACCGGAGTCTAATTCAACATCCTTGTATCTTTGAGTATATTTAGAGTGTATTTTTGTTTACTCAAGTGAATAACTACTTTACTTTTAACCACTTCCAATCCTAAAAAATATGTTAGATTTTCAACTAAATGCTATGTCGAGGAGAGCAACGATTCTGTCAATCTCCGTAATGTCTTCCCTAGCAAGGATGATGTCGTCCACATAAACCAGAATCACAATCTTGGTTTTACCCGAACAACTTAGAAACAAGAAGTGATTTGCAGTAGAATGAGTATATCTATGTGAAAGTGGGAAACCATAAAGTTTTTCATATCATTGTTGAACAACTTTATGTAATCCATACAAATATTTATGTAACTTACATACATTGTTAGTAGAAGAGTTTGTCATCCTAAGAGGAATGCACATGTAAACATCCTCATGTAAATCACTATGTAGGAAAGCATTGTTGATGTCCAATTGTTTCAAAGCCTTATATAACATCCACATAGAGTAATATTCTGACAGTTGTCAGTTTGGCCAATGGAGAGAAGGTATCGAGGAAATCAAGAGCTTTGCTTTTGGAATATCTTTTAGCAACTAACCTGACTTTATACCTATCAATGGTGCCATCAGTTCTATGCTTTATTTTATAAAATCATATGTTGTTAGAATCGCGTAGCGGAATGATTGTGATTGCGGACAAAACCAAGAAGGGGGGAGGGGGTGAATTGGTTTCTTAAAAAAAATTAGGGTTTTGAAATTTTTCCCAAATTTCACTGATTAAAATACTTGTAAAGTAAAGAGAGAAATGATAAAAAGATTACACAAGTGTTTTATACTGGTTCGGATCAAAAGACCCTACGTCCAGTTGCTAATCACTCTAAAAGAGGATTAACGTTGTCACTATAATCACAGTTTAAATAGATTACAAATACAAAGATAAAGATTAGAAAATAACTCTCTTGAGTCACACAAGAGATGAACACCTCCTTTGAATCCACAAAGGATGAACAACAACTTTTCCTAGAGACGACACTACACACAATCCACCAAGAAACCCACTCAATGATTCTTATCACTTCTAGCCCACACTAGGTTTTCAAAAGCCCCTTTTTCTTCTCTACATAAAGTTCTCTAGCAATCACAGCTCTTAACTTTTGTATGAAAAAGTTTTGTTATTTTGCAGATAGCCTTAGAGAACCTTAAGTAGAGAGATTGGGGTCTGGGGAATAGAAGATTTCGAAAATAGAAGAATTGGGAATAGGGTTTTCGTAAATTGGTCCAAATTTGAAATTCAAAACTCATAACAGACGTAGATAATCGATTATCTTAAGTGATAATTGATTATTACAGAACCCTTTTTGCAGAGGAGTAAAATAGGACTAGGATAATCGATTATATGACTTGATAATCGATTATTCCAGAGCTTTCAAACTGTGATAATCAATTATCAACCTATATAATCGACTATTCCAGCAAGGTTTTCAGAAAATAGGTTTCAAAGCATGATAATCGATTATCCTAAGTGATAATCGATTATTACAGAGTGATTTTTATAAAAATGAATTTTCAGAGGATGGACTATGTGTTGGCTATCTTGGACTCTAATTTTACAGACTCAAAAATATAAAACAGAGTTATTACAAGTAAATACAAATGCTTACAAGTCTTCAAGACCTCAAGTCCTTTGCTCTAGAATCATCATCAAAATCTTTAGACATCATACTCATGTATAGTCAACAATCTCCCCTTTTTTTATGATGATCAAAATTTGCTTTAAAGCCCTTTATAATAACCTATTTTTACTGTCACAACTAACAAACTATTAAACATACTTGGCAACAATAAAATTATTTAATATATCAGGCTTTAAATATTTTCTCCCCCTATTTGGATCATAATAAAAAAGAAATGAAAGCTCCCCCTCAACATGTGCATAAAATGGAAAAATAAACAACTCCCCCTCAATCAATGCAAACATATAATTTTATTCAATAAATCAATATAGTACAAACAAACAAGAATTTTGAAGAAATTAGAATTCTTCACTCTCATCACTATTAAATTGGGCATCAAATCCATCTTCTAAATTACATACACGATCGTCCACATCCGAAATTCGTCTTAAGATTTCCTGATGCCATTCTTGAGATATAGAAAATAATTCTTGCATTCTCTGATTCTTATCGAACAACATGTCTTCAATGGGAGGACGAGATGTAGAGTGAGCAGTAGAAGATGTTGT